GGCTCCCTCCGCCGTCCCCGCTTGGCCCACGTCCCGCTCCCGCCAGGCCTTTGTCCGGGCGCAGAGCCACGGTGGCTTGGGGAGGGGATCGGGCGGGACTTGGTTCGCCATCCATGAGCTGACTGAGGTTCGCCATCCATGAGCTGACTGATTCTTGGATTCACTCTCACACTAACAAGCAGAATTTGAGAGCTGGACTCCTAGGGTTCAAATCCTGCCTCTGTTGTTCATTTGCTCTGTGACCTTGGGCTAGTTTCTTCACCTCCTTGGACTCAGATTCTCAGTCTGTAGAATGGGCCTAATGTGAATGCATAACAATCAAGGCTGTCTTCGAGTCTTAATAGCATTTAAAACCTCTGTCAAGTGTCTAGTCACAAAATAAAATTTGTTAGAGATTAGTCCCAGCTCCAATCCCTGGAACTCAAGGAGGAGCAGGTTGCTCTCCTGAATTCTAATATGTAAGATGGAAAATAAACAATCACAAAAAAAAACAAAACAAAACCCAACAACACCCCAATGACTCTCCATTGGTTTTCTGAGAATGTAAATCTTTGAAGAGACTGCCCACCTTTCTTCTTCGGAGTCGCTCGTGGATTCAAACAGCAGACTCCTAGGTTAGCAGCCTCCAGGGCTCCTTGGAAGATGGAAAAGGGAGGAGAGAAAAACTTCAGGAAATACTTGCCTTCAGAAAGGCCACCCAACAGGATGCAGGGAGGGGAGGAAGAGCAGGGGGAAAATGGATAGACAATGAACCCTACACTGGAATAGGTGGAGAAGAGGATTATCTGAAAGGAATGGATGATTAGACTTTGTTGTTGTTATGTGCCGTCACAAGCGACTCATAGCGACCCTGTGCACAACAGCTCTGAACCCTGCTCTATCCTGAGCCAACATTATCCTCTCTGACACAACTACCGCCATTACCCAAGTCATTGAATCAATCCATCTCATCCAGGATCTTTCTCTTGCGCGCAGTCCTTCCACCCTCCCAAGCATGATGTCCCTCTCCAAGGACTGGTCCCTCCTTGCAACATGCCCAAAGTATGTCAGACAGAGCTTCTGAATACTTGCCTCCAAGGAGCAGCCTGGTTTCACCCTCTCTAGGACAAACCTGTTTGTTCTCCTAGCAGTTCATGGTATATTCAACTCTTCTCCAGCACCATACCTCAAAGGCATCAATTCTTCTTCTATCATGCCTAGTCATTGTCCAGCTTTCTGATGCATAGCAGTAGGTGACTGCAAAGACTGATTACACTTCAGATATGTGACAATTGACAATATGGAACAAGACATGCATTAAAAAGTGAGTTGGGGGAGGAGAAAGGAAGAAAATGTGTATCAATGAATGAATGGAAGCCATCCTTTCTGTAAACTTTCACTAAAATCACAATTAAAAAAATAAAGTATTTTTAAGATTTTTTTAAATTTTATATTGGTTTGTTTACAAAGTTTGTATACATTGTGTTTCACACTATTCTTCAGTCACAGTGTATTTCATACAATATTCTCATGCATTGTTTTTTAAAAAAGTATTAAAGAACAGTTTTTAAAAAGCCACAAAGCAGAACAGGATGGGGGGGGGGGCTGTAGGATACTGCTTCTTAAAATATATGATTCTTGTGCTTTCTAAAAAATATTTGAATCAGGATAAATCTGAAAGAAAAAAGTAGATAACTTCATTTTACACACCAGTAATAGAGGGGAGACATGAGAGTCCAGAGTTAATGGACGAAACCCCTAACATCTGTCTTGGGCATATTTTTTGGAGCTGAAATAGAGGGTGGTTGGGACCCATTTGTTCTTTACAGTATCTTTGCATCACAGCACTGGCTGGGCACTGAGTCGCTTTTCAGAGATGTTGGCTGAACAAACAGAATAAAAGGACAAATCAGTAAATGGATAGGAAAGTAGAACCAGAGTTGTTTCCGACAAACCTTGCAGCTCCCTTCTGACTTGAAAGTACCTAGGGCTCCTTTCCACCTTGGGGGCAAAGTCAGCTTTTGAAAGAAGTCTGGAGTGTCCAGTCAGATACTTCCCAGCAGCTTTGATCTGGTTGGTGGGCAGTATGATAACAGCTTATTGGGAATCTATATTTTCATTCACCCTTCAGATTTCCTCACCAACCTTTACCACCTTCAGCCCCAGAGGCCAGCCTGCCTTAATAGGCTTCTGATCCTCTGGCTTACACTTGGTGTAAGAGGCAGGTGAGAGGCAGGAGAAAGAGAGAGGTCTCCGTATTTAGGTCCTAAACTCATTCCTGTCAGAGTTGCCTCCCCTCAGTGTTACTGCTCTGGCCAGCCAGCTTCCTCATGTGGCAGCTCTTACCATAAGGTCTCTCTCGAGATTCTGGGAACCACTTTTCTACAAAAGTTGGTAACAGTCATGTTGTTGCTACCCGTGAACACCTGTGGGTTCTGTATGCCCTGCGCACACCTTTGTGAACTGTCCCTTTACTAAGCTTTCCTTGCTGGCCCAATCTGAAGGCGGCATCTGTTTCCTGCTAGGGCATTCACTCAGAGAATTCCTGTAAGACACTTTCTTTTGAAGCACATGTGGTAGGCCTGGTGTTTCTGTCCCTCTCACCTCATCTGTAAATCATGCCTTCCTAATAAGGGAGAACTACAGAGCTGAGAGGCTAGAGGAAATTGGTGAATCAGTCAGCTTCCTCGCCTTTTCTATGAAGAGAGCCTGGGTCCACCTCCCAGGCCTGGTGTGGGGAAGAGAAACTTCCGACTCTCTGCAGCAGAAGCAGCTTTGCCTACCTTCTCCTCCTCCTTTCTCTTGATCCTCTGCATCTCTTACTTCCCCACCACTCAAGAGATTCTCAGAATGGCCTGCGGTATTTTTGGAGAATTGAATTGTTGGCTCATGGTATAATTTAGTTTCCTTGTTCAGACTGAAAAGATATATTTAGATCCTGCTTGGGAGAGCGGGAGGAACCAGGGTGGCACAGTGGATTAAGTACTGGGATATAGCTCAAAAGATCAGCAGTTCATATGCACCAGCAATTCTGAGGGAGAAAGATAAGACAGTCTGCTTCCATAGAGATTTACAGCCTTGGAAACTGTATAGGGCAGCTCACTGTGAGTCCAAATTGACTAAATGACTGTGGTGGTCTAGTGGCAAGAAGTTTCTCTGCGATCCCAAAGGCATATGGTTTGAATCCACCAGCTGCTCCAACAGATGTATGCACATCTGTTTATTTCTGTGTTGTTCACAATAGCAAAGCGATGAAAACAACCCAAGTGCCTATCAACAAACAAATGGATAGAAAACCTATGGTATATTCACACAATGGAATAGGAGAAGGCTGGAAAATCTTGTGTGCCACATCCTGACTCTGAAAACCTGCTAGAGAGTTAGTTATGAGTTAGTTCAAACTTCACAGCACACAACAATAAGAAGATGGCAGCTGATTAGTGTTTTGGTTTTGAGGGGAACTGAGAGTTATCTGCTAATAAAAATTTCAACTCAAACTCACTAGAATTGACTGGGATAGGGTGAGTTCCCAGGCACTAAGATTAACACTGACAGAGAAAGGACATTGAAAGAGAACTGCCAGAAGTTCAGCCTGAATTTGTGACACCAGGGATATCATTGCTGATGTCCAATTAATCCTGGTTGAATACCAGAAAAAGCAAATAATACCAGAAATGTCTATTTGTGTTTTCTTGATTACACAAAGGCATTTGATTGTGTGAATCAATATAAAAATTTGGCAAATATTGAGAATGGGAATCCCAGAACAGTTAATTATGCTTATGAGAAACCTATACCTAGACAAAGAGGCTGTTGTCTCAACAGAGCAAGGGAACGCTGTATGGTTTAAGATCAGAAAATGTGTTCACCAGGGTTGTATCCTTTCTTCATACCTATTCAATCTGTATGCTGAACGAATCACTCAAGAAACAGGACTCTAAGTTCAACAAAGCAGCGAACAAAAAATTGTGTTGTGGAGAGTTTGGAACCCTTATTCACTGTTGGTGGTAGTGTAAAATGGTGCAACCACTATAGAAGGTAGTTTGATGCTTTCTCAAAAAGTTGAAAATGGAAATACCGTTTGACCCAGCAATTGCATTACAGAGACTATACCCTTATAGAAAACATCGACATCCAAACTGATGTATGCACATACATGTTTATTGCTGCATCATTCACAATAGCAAAGAGAAGAAAACAACCCAAGTGCCCATGATATATATTTCACATTATGGAATACTATGCTGCACTGAAAAGAATGAACTCATAAAACACTACACGACATGGGTTATTCTGGAGGACATTATGCTGAGTGAAATATCTCAGTCACAAAAGAACAAACACTGCATAGTGCGACTCTTATATATCAGGACTGACATGGGCAGTTGGGAAGAAAATAGGAAAAGAGTGAATAGATAAGGAATACTGTGTTGGAATAGATGAAGGAAAGACCTGTTTAAAAGGAATATATGACTAAGCATCATATGTAAGACAAAAGTCCAGAATAAGAGGTACATTGCAAAGAGGACTGGGGAAAGGGAAAACACAGGGTAAGGGAGTAAATTGTGCAACAACAAATGAATATAAAAAAAAAAAAGAACGGGAACTGGGGGAGAGGGAAGGGAGGAAAATGTGCAAAAATGAGCAAATGAAAATCCAACTTTTCTGTAAACTTTCATAAAAATCACAATTTAAAAAAAAGAAGCTGGACTCTATGAAGAAGAATGTGGCATCAGAGGAAGACTCATCAACCACCTGCGTTATGCAGATGACACAATCATGCTTGCTCAAAGTGA